GTCTGCTTTGTCTTGTTATAATCAAATACTTTGTATTATGTAGCACAGGTTGTCATTAAACGTGTGAACAAACCTATATCATTAAAGTCACTTCAATCAAATTGACATATATCGAAATGTGACATCTTATCGTCTTGCCCTTATGCACCCTCGACCCGCCTTAAGGGAGAAGATGGAATTTATCAGGAAACGTAGAAATGTAAATTTCCCTTTGCAAGGATTAAGCAGGGAAACATAATTTTCTTTCTTATTTTGCAACTCTGCTAATTAAATATTTTAGCAGTGACCGACGCCAAACGAACTTTGTGAAACTTGCGATTGATTGAACGCAAGAGCAGATTGAACGCATTGATTGCAAGAGATTTTCGGAAATATTTTTTTAATTATTACGCTATAGATTCTTGTATCTCACTTTGCATTTCAGATTCATTTTTAAAATCACAAAATCGTTTCATCGAATAGATTTTTCCTGTCGCGATCATTGATGCGCCGCGATCGTTTTTCTGTCGCTCATCTTCAACTGATTTATGTTCTCTTTTTTCTCACAAGGCGTATTCTCCTGCGCTTCGTCGGAGTCGATCTCCACGATCGATTGCCAAGGAATCGGATTTATATACGCTGGCTTCGCCTTCTGATGAGCTGTAAAGTAACGCGTCGATTTGCTTCAAGATATTCGATTCGCTTTCCATGCGTAAAAAAAAATCGCAAAGCAAACGCGGGCACGTATGATCATTCTCACTTTATATAATGGACTCGGGATTAATTCGTTCGGGATTGCCCCGCTCGTTAGTTGCAATTACAAGAGTAGTTATTATCTTTATCGCGACGCAAAAATGTTCCACAGAGAGCGACCCTTAATTACATGCTACTAATTAATTGCATTGTCAGTGCATGATTATAGATGTAATTAAGAATCATCCCCCACAAGCGAGTGGCGCTTGTGCTCATTTTTTTCCTTTGTACTGGCCATTTTGTTATCACATCGTATTATTTTTCTCTACGTACGAAGCAGCCCCTGCGTGGCAGGCTTGGGCTTGTTCTTGGAATTCTCTCGCCACTTCTCGTACGCTTTTGCGCTTTGCTCCAGCCTCTTTTCGCGCTCCTCGTCCATCTTCTTTTGCCTCGTCTCCTGCTCCTTACGCCGGGCTGAAAAGCAAGATATATACATATATATATATATATATATATATATATATATATATACAACGAGATATATATATATGCAATTTTTATTGTCGCAACCCTCTGTTGTTTACAGGTAGGCTATGCCGGAAGTATGCCGCACCCTTTTGCTCCGCCTGCTTCCTGTGAAACCACTGACGAAGATACTGGATGTTCGCGTCGGCGAGCTTATTCTCGAGCTCCTTCACGCGCCTCTGCAATTCCAATTCGTTCTCGAGCACCGCTCTCCTGTCGAGCTCCTGCTGCCTCTTCCTCTTCACCCACTTGAGAAAGTTCTCCTTTTCCAGCCGCATTTTCTCTTCCTTCTCCCGCGCGGCTTTTTCCTCCTCCGCCTGTCGCCTCTTCGCGGCGCGTTCTTCCTTCTCCTTCGCCCGCTGCGCAATCTCCTGCTTCCTGCGGATCCATTCCGAATGATCGATCCTCTTGCCGAGATCGGATTTGCCGGGCTGATGATGATCGCTGACATTTGAATCGACCGACGTCGTGGAGATTCGTGCGACTTGGCGATCATCCAGGGCGACGTGCCTGCGACATGGAGAAAACAATTTTTTTGAAGTAGCCACAAATTTGGTCAGATGGGAAAATAATTTTCTTAAGTCATCAAAAAAATTATGTAGGATGTTTAAATTGATTGATTGGAATATTCAACATTTTTGCGGTCCTATCGTTGTGTTTAAGAGTCCGAAAGAATTATTTTTAAATTTGATCAAATTTTTTTTAGGTATTTTAGTAAAATTATTTCTCTCTGTTTATTCTTGAATATACGCTTTGAATATACGATTGAGAAATTGTACGATGAAATAAACGTACTTTTCCTGTTTTGTTGCCTTATTTTGATCAATATTCATCAAGGTACCGATCTTGCATCGTCGTTCCATTCGCGTGGACGAGATTGTGGACTGAGATATGGACTGTTCGAGAGGCATAACGTCCGAAAAGGATCCCGTCTTGTAACACCTATAAGTGCTCTGCCCCTCATTCGTATGATCGCTCGCTGTATCTTTTACGACAATAGGCAGATCGATCGCCGAAGCATTGGAATCTCCGTTACAACATTCTGCCAAGAAAATCAAACATTAAAGTGAAAATTTATTTAGAGGAATTGAATTCTTGGATATCAAGAAAAGATAAGATTCTGTTAAAACTTTAATTTTTTTTTAATTATAAAAATTATAAAAATCGCTGATTCTATAATAATTAGAGTTTTTTTTTATTTATTTTTACTACTGTGTTTACTCGATTAATTTAGTCTTTTGAAATCTCAAAATAGATTTTTGTAAAAAATCCAGATTTTCGATCAAATTTTGCATCGACCTTGTTGCTCGCGATCGCTGTCAAATTCCTCTTCGCCGACAGACTCCGTATAAATGGCAGGGTTTATGTAACGGATTTCGGGGCGAGAACACGAGTTTTTCACTTGAATCGCAGTTACATCTTCGCCGAAACGCGCACTATGATTGACGATTTCCCTTTGATCAAATCCAACTATCTTCCAGCTGTCAATGTTGATATCGTTGACCATCGTTCTTTCGCATGCTTTTGGCAATAAGTCGTTGATTTCACTTATTATGCCCGACGTGATACATAATCGCTTTGTTACGATTCAATCACGCGTAAATGTTTTTATGGAAATGTCATTACTCGTTCGAGAAGCCATCCACGTATGAACGTTCATTCATAATGAATTCGATGCTATATTTTTTGGAGAACAATGACGAATCCTTTGAAGTGTTGGATATGTTTATTGACATGTAAAGTGAAGAGAGAACCTGATACAAACTCTCATCATTAATTAGTCATTTAAACAGTTTTCTAGAAATCGATTTATTTGAGGAAAAATAAAATAAATTTAATATTCTGAAATTGTGTTTATTAAAATATTTAACTTTAATGTTTGTATGTTTCCTTTTTCCGAAATGACAAAAATGAAAATCAAACTTTGATCAAAAATATAAAAAATTATGGAATATAACACAGGTTTTTAGATGGGAAAGTTAAAATTGAAAAATAACAAATGATCAAAGATTAATTTTTAATTCTTTCTTCTTTTTTCCACAGTTCAAAATAGACTAGTTTTAAAAATATTCTAGTTTTTCTTACTTTTGGTTGATAACAAAATTTACATAAATTCCTTCGCTTAGTTAAATAATATTTATACAATTTATACATACTTTCATTATCCTGCTTACATAAAAATTGTACATAGACTATACTTTATAAACAGCGGTACGATTTTATTTTTAATGAATTAATGATTGAATGGTGACGATGATAATGATAATTTATACAAATTATTAATGATAAATCTAGACAAATAACATTAAGAAACAATATCTTGCTATTTTGCTTTTGTACAAGTTTTCTCTTTTAACTCCCAACAAGATTCCCAGAACTCTTTGAGTCTATTATCTCCATTGGAACAGAAGTGTCGAAAATCCTGTATAATTTTTTTCTGAAATAATTCATCGCCCGCCGAAAGGGACAATGATTTCCATTTACGGCTGACCATATGATTCCAGGACCACAAGAAGCCCATCTAAAATTAATAACAAATTGTAAGTTTTATTAGATGATACAATGTGTCTTTTTTCAAAAAATATGCCATTGAAAAAAAGCGAATGACTCTAAACCATCATAATATACTTGAATATTTTTTTTCATATGTCAAAAGAAACTCTTATTATTAGATCAAAATCTTATCACTAATTAATAAAAGTTCAATCATTCAAATATGCGATAAAATCACTCACTTTTCTATCTATGCTATGATCGTCTTTATTCTTTCCACCGACGTGTCTAGTAATATATGCTTCATGCGGACTAGGCTGGTCTGGATGAACCGGGTATCTTTTTTGCCCTGTATTCCGCCGTACGACATTGGTACCGGTTCGCGGACGTGGTCGGGTATTCGTAGTGGATGGCACTAATATGAACGCATTACCAGTGATGTGAACGTACTGACGGTCATTCTCACTGTTTTCGACTAGACATGGCATGAAACCAAATCTTTGTAGAATTGCTTCTTGGAATAAAAACAATCTTTGCGCGTATGTATCTTCTCGAAATTCTGCAAATTTGTATTTATTGTTTTATCAATTAGAATAATTTTTCTTCGAATTGATAATACAGTCGAATTAATTTAGGACGAACCTTCGAAGAGATATCGTTTGTTTGCCATCAAGCATTCTGTGTCGAGTGGGATAAAAATGGGACCTCTGAGGGGATCGCTCTTCAGGGTATATGGCAGCGCTAATAAATCACTAGGAATCGGCACCATTTGTATTCCGCACATTTGAGCTTTGCGTTGCCAGAGGAATATCTTACAAAAATGGATTATTAGTTTTTAGCTTCGATTGCATCATCGTTTTTTCACGGAAAAATAAAAGATAAATTATTTACCAGATCGGCCACTATACTGCCGGATGATGCTACCCATTGTGCAACGAGTTCATAGGAATTATCTACTTTGTAAATGGACTGATACCTTAAGTGACCCCATTCAATCCTATCGCTTTTATTATTAATATCGATATCAAGATGAGTATGTTTATATAACGGTACTGAAAGAAAATGAGTTATATGAAGTGACTTGTTTTACATCGCTATGAACATTTTGATAAACGATATTACGGTATTGTTTTATAATTGTATATCTGATTTAAACTGTCTATTGTAAATTAAAGATTAACTTTAATACTTAAATGTTATAATATGTATGATAAACGAGCATATTTACTTGTTGCACTTCTATCATCCACTGATTCAGTCAAATCGATTTTCTCTCTCAGAAAAGATGGAACGTTAGATTCATCGATAGTATCACAACTGGGTATTGTCATAGAAGTCGATACTGTTGTCGAAGACGTTGGTTCGCACCATCCTTTCGGTGGTCGCATTTCCACTTCCACCCACTCGTTCTCGAAACTCTGCAGATCCCCAAGCGGAGCAGAATAGTCCGCGACTATTACCAAAAATTCAATTAAATTAGCTTGAATCATTCAATTCATTAGCTTTAAAATTAAAAAAAATTCAATCATGCTATTTACCTTTCTGATTTTCTTTATCCTGCACAATATGATACAAATAGAATCCTAAAATAAATGATTTCGAGAAGTCGCCAGATGCGTGACATATCAATTTGTCTTGAATCATTCCCTGCGCAAAAATAAATTATTATTATTTATAATAAAACTTTAAATAAAATGCGCAATTAAAATATTCTTTTTTCTTTTTCAGTAGAATTCAATTTGCCAAAGATACTTTTATGATATAAGAAGGTACATTTTTATTTTAATCTCTGTCTTATAGAATTTTGTAAAATAGATAATAAAAGTGAATATATCGATGATATTACATTCAAATTACAAACTATGTCAATAGATAAAATCTTTACCTCCATGACATTAATACCCTGTTCCACTCCCATGCCGCCTTCTATGTGCTTATTCAACCATTGGATCGCATCGGCGCTAACAAACGTTTGGCTAGGAAGCGAAGGATGTTGCGTTAAAAATCCAACACCAGTTTGAGGATGTTTCATGGCTTCCAAAATTTCTGCATTTGTCGCATTGTTTTTTATTTTGGTCAGTTCCATGTTGGCACTGTAAACGTGAGTAATCAATTCTATAATGATATTAAATGTTTATATATCTGAATTAAAACGGCAAAAGCTTATCCAGAAGATTTACTGCTTATTTTTAATACTGAACAAAATGAGAAATGTTTTTTCTCTAATTTTGTATATAAATTATAATAAATATATAAAATCAATAACTCTTCGTTTCATAAGTTTTGTAAAGATTTATCTGAAATTATGATAAGTCACTAGATAATTAATGCAACTTACTGAGGACAATTCAAATGAATTATTCAAATGAATTATTTTGATTATAAATGCCGATATTTTTAAACGAATTGTCACTCGAGCAAATTGATGCGTTTTATTGACAAAGCAAATAACATTCTTGTACCTGTCGTCATTAGTGTCGAAATGATCCTGCTGTTGTTGCTCAAGCGACAATGGTAAAACGGCTTCGCTGGCAGGTGACACACGTCCTCTATCCATCACCTTGGAACCCGATCTGTAATCATGTGTAAAAATGAAAAACGTTCTTATTCGTATCGATGCGTACAAAAAAAGGCAGAATAAAGCAATTTATATGTTAACACTATCTAAAACAAGCGAAAATGATTCTTTGTGTCATCTTTACAGCAAATCACTTCACAGCAAATTAGATAAGAATTTTACAAAAAAAAATTCCTTTTCTATTGTTATTCAAGTTAGATTCATTATTATGTAAATCTTCATGATTTTAATTTTGCCAAATCTTTAAATCGTGAAACGTATGAAATAGTACTTGTTTCAGTTATCGAGTATTGTTTTAGTCACAGATACTTATAAATAATCTAAACCTTATATTCTTTATGGAAAAATTAGCTCATTAATTAATAGTCTTTTATTTAATAAAATATGACATTATTATTTGTGTATTTTTATGTATTTAATTTTTTGAGAAGCATATTTTTTTTACTGGATGAATATATATATTTATATATTAGATTTATAGGATTCTATTTCTTTTGAAATCAACGATGATAAATCTGAAGTCAAATTTTAGAAATTCAAAAATTATATATATTCAAGATTTATTTTGTAAACAAAAAGCACACAGAAATTATAGGATGTTATAGGATAAGGTTTGTTATATATTTTTAAAAATGTATAACTTTTTTGTTTATTAATATACGTGCAATACGTTTCAATTAATTTGAAAAATGTTAACGTGTAAGTTAAATATTTAAAAAAAAAAAGACAAAAAGAAGGGTAGGAGAAAAAAACGCATACATCCAGCTACCCCCGTAAGGAATAATAGCGAGCAAGACTAAAAGAATACTCGACGACATAAATTTGAGAGATCAGAACCTGTACGTTTACGTGTTATGAAGTAATAACGATTAAAAACAAATAGCTCTGGTATTTTGAATTCTGAATTGCGAAAGGAATAAAGAGAATGAGACCAACCTGTTTGGCACGTGGCGAGGAGTGTCGAGGCACGTGCGGGCAGCCGCAGCGGTATTCACTACATGCCTCTCCTGTACAGAGGAGCAACAACCCCGTCACTCCCTCACTCAGTACCAAAATGCTCTAGACGGCCGCGCAGAGCATAGATACAGTGTTGCTGTTAAATTTAAGCTTTCGCATCTCGGCACAAAGTGTATGTATGCTCTCTGAGGCCGGACATTAGTCGAAAAACAAACAGAAAAAAGATGAAAGAAGCTAAAAGGTACAGAAACTATGGGGAGGGGGAGGGAGGGGGGGGAGAGAGGAGGGGGACTTCCTTAAACTCCCTCGTTTTCCTCCTAATGCGTTGCACCTTTTACATCGAGAGGATATTAATCAAAGTGTCGCGGCTCGGTTGTTATCAAAGCCCACCGAACGAAAGTGCGGAGAATAAGGATGATTCGCTATGTAACATGTAAAGGTGCTCGAATGTATTGTAAAAACCATGGACAGTGAAGGAAGGCATGCACGATAGTAGGAGCCAAGAACACCGCTTATGTCAGAGAAATGTACCGGTGCGTCCTGTTTTAATTGTGCTTCTTAGCAAGAGCATGGAGTTATCATGTTAAACTGAAAAGAAACTGAAATTGTTTAATATACCCATACGTATTGAAATAAAGTCAAACATCCAGTGAAGTGTTAAATTTCATCATGTTATGTTTGTTTATATATATATATATATACATGTTTATATATTTTGTCACTTCGAATGGTATTCCGAATCTTGCTTCTTCTTTATCTTTAAATTAAAAGCATACTTTTGTCAAATACACACTTACATAACAAACATAAATACATATAACAAAATCAATGAAAATACATAACAGGATCAATAAGTCATTAAACACAACGTGATGTATAAAAGTGTCTCGCTCCAATGAGTCGAACATTCGCCACACACGATAAATCAAGCAAGAATAAAAACCATCGACACACCAATTTTGGGATAATTCACTGAAAAGAAAAATGGAATAACAAAAAAAAAAGGAGTTCGCAAAACTACGCAGTTAAAGATTGGCGCAAAGCAACAATGCTGAAATCATCAAGGTAGATGGCATATTCAAACCTTGGTCTCGGTTTCTCCGGCAGGCGGTTGCTCCCGAGTCGCTCCCTGAAAGGAGAGCTGCCGACTAGATTGGTCTGGAAAGTATGATGAGACGTATGGGTAACTGTGAATGGTAATGATTAAGCTGATGATATCGTGAGGATGTATATCTAACTGTAATGTGACGTTCAACATTAAGAAGTGTCACCCTCGTACGAGGCGTATAATTCGTTCGTATAAATGTAGAAATGAGAAAAGTAGAGTGTAAATCAAACACATCGTAACATCTGACGCATAACGGTTAAGCTCGCTAAAAATCATAGATGCACATTCAATGCAAAAATATATCAAGCACGATCACAGTTATCGTGAGATTATATATATTGTATTGTGTAAGCTGGCCTGATCATTCCAAGTAACACGTATCAAAGAAGCGATTCTATCGAGAAACTCGAATACATCTAGCCGTGAAAAAGAATTGGGGGGGATAAAATTGCACCAGTAAGGATTATTTCATATCGAAGTCAAAGGAGACTTTACAATTCTAAAAACACGACGAGCTATTTCGGTGTTAATCAATGAAATTAAAAATTAACTAAAATTAAAGTTAAAATCGGAATTAACTTTTTCGATCGATCTTCCTTTCATTGTTCCACAGAATCGTCTGCCCTGGTGCAATTTTACTTCGTTTGTAAAAATTTAAATCGGAGATGTATACTCCGTATGATAGTAGAAAGTCGAAGATGTTTAAAAAGAAAATATTCTTTTATTATACCGCTCATAATTAACTAGTCGGAAGCTCGTGTAAACGAGGATCCCAACAGCTGGACTCAGTGTATCGAGGCTACAGGAAGGGGGGATGTACCTGGTTAGTGAGGAATATCAGGCTCGTGCTGTGCCTGCGTCTGGTCAAATGAGAGGCAGGATCTCTTGGAGGGACACCACCTAGAGCTGTGGGGCTCTGAAACATATCATGCTGAAAACCCCTCCCCATACAAAAACATTCCAGCTACAAGTCTCTATCTATCGCATATCTATGTAATATCGAATTTTATAGATCTCTATTTATCATAAAAGTAGAGACTTATTGTGATTTTGTAGTCGTGATTTTGATCTGCTGCCAACGCTCAACAAGTACTTTGATATGTATTTCGGAACGATCGTATATATGTAGTATAGGTATAGGGATATAAGTATTACGTCATTAAAAGTAGTAAATTAATACTGCTGAATGTTGCTATTGTACATGTTATAGGCCGACGTTAATGCAAAGTGTACAAAAAAAAAAAACTTTGTCAAAAGCCGTGCATTTCCTTTTAATTTCCTAACTGTACATCCTAATTTCGTATATATTTTCTCCAGCATGTTATACAGCGTTACTTTATCTACAGACAATTGATAGAATTAGATTTTTATCAGAAATCGTTATTTTGCTAATAAGATTATATATATATATATATATATATATATATATATGTATATATACTACAATAAATACTGCTTACAGAAACTGCGCAATTCAAAAGTTAATAAGGTATAAATAATTAACAGAAGCATTAAAATAAATCTGCGCAAATCAATCAAATGTGAGCATGCAACATTCAAGTATAGTATAGAGGAGATATTTTAGAAAAAGGCAATTTATATACACATTTTTTCGTAGAAAGTAATGCGCGTAAAAAAGAGTTTGTCTTTATACATTTTTTATATTCTGTGTCATGTGTAAAACATGATTCTTGCATCTTTATTCAAATACCGAAATAAAAAAATATAAAGTATATCTCCTCAAACAGCATAATTTACAACAAAAACTATCAAGCAAGTTTAAATAAATATCACGTAGAACGGAATAACTGCAATTAATTTATAAATATAAATTGGGATGTCCCAAAAAGATTTATATCAGCAGCATATGTTCAAGTGTTACACAATCACAAAAATCTCATATAAAAATTAATTATTATTATTATTATATATATATTATATTTATTAAAAATTACTTTTAATTAAACGAATTAAAATTTAAAAATTTTGTTGATGATAACTGCAAAATATCCTTCTAAAATATAAAGTTTAGCTATTATAATGCAACTGCTTTTTGGAACGTCTTTCATCATTTATTACGTTATTATATATTTAAAACTCCTAACAAATAATTAATAATTTAGAATTTATTAAATCTATCTTTCTATGCAGGTATAGAAAATTAGAAAAATTTACCCAATTTTTATTGGGGTTCGGCCGTCGTATCTTATTCAGCCACCACTCGATGAAACGCAAGAAGCCGTCCATTAATAACGCCTGTTCGGTATTACTAAGCGGAGTGTATATGTCGCATCTTGGCGAATTCTCCAAAATTTTGCGGGTCGCAGAATTATTATATGGTAACAAAAATACTCGAAATCTCCAATATTTAAGAGCCTAGAAAGATAAAATGTCAAAGTTAATATTTTTTCAGTAATGTACAGAATCAGATTTTTGGAAAAATTCACTCACTTCCACTAAAGCAAAATCAGTATGGCCTCGTGTGCAAATGTAATGATCCAGGTAATTCCAGTTATAGGTCTCGAGTTTCTCCGTGGTGAAAGATACCCACGAAACTTCGTATGTGTCGTGATGCGGAGCATGAAACCGATATTGATAGTGAATATTGAAAGGTGGATAAGGATGTCTGTAAACATAATTATTGTTAATATTTATCATTTGATAATTATTTATTTAAAAAGTACTTTATTATAAATGAACATAGTACGAATTCTACGTCCATCTTCTTGGTACAAAGCAAATCCGTCAAGAAGTTTTTAAAAAAATTCAGAAGGATTTTTGTATATAAGAGAGAAATTCAAGTAAATTAGACGATATAAAGTTTTGGAAAAATTGCAACATGGCTAAGAAACAAATGCAAAAGCCAAGTGCAAGAAGAGATGTATTTCACTGCAATGAATTAATTTGTAGACTTAATTTCTAATTAATAATAATAATTACCGTGGACGGTATCTCGTGACCGTTATAGAATTATCGAACAGTGATATTTTATGAAAAATCCTTCCGATACTAAGCAGGTATTCTTCTTTAGGCTCGGACTCGGTTTGTCTGCCGCGCATTACCGTACTAATCGCGGGAGCAGTATTGCTGCCAACAGTATTGCTTTGATTTTTATTGATTGATGGTAGAATAATTAACTGGAAACCCTAAATAACGGAACATTTGTGATTAGTTGTTAAAACATAAATACAATCATATAAAAGTAAATAAAACTAAGTATTTTAATTATACTTGGGCCAAGCGTTGTGAAACTAGCTCTTTAAATACTTCCACAGTTGTGAGCGGTTTTTTATATATCGCTCGCTGCTGGGCAAAGTCAGCGTTAACATCATCCGGGAGGAGATTGTAGTCCGACACGACGTAGTCGTTTTGCAAGCTTCGCTTGTCTGGGAAATAATCAGTAGTGATGGGTAGGCACGCAGGAATTGTCAAAGATTTCCAGTCAACTCCTATTTTGAATTAAAAAATTTTAAAACAATTGCAGAGATGAAAGATTCGTTCTTATATATGCAAGAAGAAATAGATAAGTTCTAATTTATAATTCTAATTTTAATTTAATTTTAACTTACGTCTTTTTAAATTCTTTTACTTGATATCTATTTCTTCCTTATAGTCAGAAAGAATAGATGCTCGATAAGATACTTATTAAAAATGAATAGAAATTATAAAAATCACAGAGCCAATGATGATTATTTTGAATTTCGTTTAATTTCATTTTTGTTTAATTTCATTTCTGCCGATTAATTATCTCTATAAAAAAATGCAGCTTCTCAATTTTAATATTTGAAAAATGTTATCGAGAATCTACTGCCGATTCAATGTCCCTTTACCAGTACTTTAAGATGTTTTTGCTCTGCTTCTCGGCAGAAACTATTGATAATATATAGTTTCCATTACACAGAATGTTCTCCAGTGTATATATATATATATATATATATATATATATATATATATATATATATATATATATTAATAACAGCTTATTAAGAAATCTTATATTTTCTTAAAATCTAAGCTAGAAAGAAATTCTAGAAAGAAATTTGTCTACATACACAAAAGAATCTCTATTTAAAAATTTTCTGGAGCATTCTGTATATTTAATTCAATCTTTATCATATTGAATACGTTTTCTTTCAATAGGTTTAATTACCAAAGGCACATTATTGTACACTTCAATCCAATACTCGTGTTTTGTAAATGCTGTAATTAATATATGATAAAGATTAAAGGCCTTCTCTTTTTAAATGCATGCCATCTAACAATTATTAGTCATGATGTGCTCAATAACAAATGTTCTATAGTGATATATCAATTTTGAATTATTAAGTCACGTGTATAACACAATAGATAACTAACGGGTCTAAAATAGATACGAATTATTCTCCTTGTACTTCAGTGCAATAAAGTTACTCGATTAGATCTACAGAAAAGAGAGAATATAATGTAATAAGCAACTACGTAGTGTAGGTACGCCTTAACATAAATGTGAAGAACCAAAGCTAATATTGTAGCACGCTTTGTCAGTGAGAGGAAACACATAAAATAATAAATAGAAAACAATATTAATAATACGAGAAAATATAGATTTTACATAAATCTGGCAGCAAAAGTGCGATTCGCGAAATGCTCAATAGAGAACAAAGCAGCGATCTGTGCAATAACAAAAGCTGCATATAGCGAAGATGTTAAGCTTCAAAGAAAAAGGTTGAAATGTCAGGAGAGAGAATATGTGTTTTATATTGTTTTAAAATAAAAAAGAGAATGATTAAAAATTCTGAAAACTCTTGCTATACATGCACTAGAACATGTAAAACAATTACGGCGAAAAAATGATGAAGGGCTTAATAGAACTAATGACGCTTCTACTTGAAGCTAATGTTCCTAATATAAATAAACAAATGTATACCATAACCGGATCAATCCCTAATAATGTATGGCGCTAACCTATGATTGCTGTAAAACAGCAGTAAGTGACATCATAGTTGTACATCATACACGTATCAATGCGTCCAGCGTTGTATCCCAATTAGACGTACCATAGCATGGAAATAAATAACATTATTCGTGTCGATCAATGGTGAAAATAAATATTGGATATTTTCAAGAATGAAAATATTTCATTTTTTCGTTTATTTGCAAAAATATATTGCAGATGTACGAAATGTATAATCCGGATGTGATCATCCAATGATACAGAGATGCGATTCTATGAGAACAGAGCGTAATTGGAGCAAGATTGAATTAAGCAAAGCTACTATAAAAAAAAAAGGACTACTTCACTCGCATAAAATAAATGCGAAATTATAAATGAATAAAAAGATGAACATTATTGAAAAATTATGAAGAATTAACTTTTATGAGTACAATAAACGATGTCCTATATATTTCTTTTAGACGTAGCTTTCAAGTATTTTCATTCTTTCGTAAATGTTATCAATTATGACTTATCTTTTCTGATGCTGACATTTGGTATAAAATTAATTTAAATTAATATAAATTAGTATAATTTTAATGTAAATTTAAAATTTCATTAACTATTATTTTGTCTATAAACAGGAGCAAATCTGTAGTGATTTCTAACAAAATCTGCTCCGACTATTATCTCTAACTTTATCGATTAGTCATTTGATTTGAAGATAATATGGTATACATTTTGGAGTAAATACAAGATTTATAATATAAAACACAATAAGAAAGGAAATTAATTTTGATTATTCAGAGCCGTACTGCAACTTGAAGCAGGACCACAGGATCACTCCTGCTTATTATACATCAATATTTATATTATTTAAATTATATCAAAAACTTTAAGACAAATATATTGTGATTAAAGCACAATACACGCAGGAAGCGTTATATAATTTATGGATATTGGAATCATATATTGGAATCATATATGTGTGTTATATGTAATGTAAATAACTTGTTATTCCATCAAATAATTTCAGATCTTATTATTCAGGATTATTCAGGAATTCTCTCTTTTGTCTAGTCTGTAAACTTATCGATGATCACGCCAAGTCGATAACTTTGTTGCATTTTTTTAAAGCTTATTAGTGTAAAAATAATATTAAATTTATAAATATGTAAATAAATAATCTTTTTTAAATTATTCAAATTGCTCTCAATTACATTGATCTTCTCGACAATCTAAGTAATTATAGAGAACAATATATTAAATAAATATTTGGACATAACAATAATACCTCCGTTATTTCCTGTAAAATATATAAATATAAATTTAAATAATTGTTAAAAATACTAAAGCAAACCTGTTGTTAGAGCAGGTGTCCATTCCTGCTCACCAGTGGCACCCCACAAGAGGGTAAGACTCTTATTCGCCATAGCCGAAGGATTCGCAGTTTTATCTCCATTAGCTGCGAGAGGATTAGATCGCGATAACTTTCCTTTAATATCTGTAAGAACATGAAATTTATTATTTATTATATTGTTCATATTTTTTAAGGATGCTGTAATTTAATAATTAAATACTAACGATCTTGAAATCCTATTTGAGATGCTGATCTCGAAATTTGATTTGAATTATTCGTCCCTTCCATCGGGGATCCGCTTACTGTCGATGGTGTAGCTTCACTTTGTGACTCTAAACAAGTCTGCATTGGAATAGCTTGATAGTGATGTTGCTGTATTAGAACTCCTGTAGGTCCTATAGAATGATATTAATTCTAATTAATTCTAATTAATTTTACATATAAATTTGTTATTTGCATCTAATATATTAAATAATGTGCATAGGAGAGATCAATTTCCTGATTGTTATATATGAATACGGCATTTAATATATTTATAATTACACACACACACACACACACACACACACACACACACACACACACACACACACACACACACACACACACACTCTCTCTCTCTCTCTCTCTCTCTCTCTCTCTCTCACCACCCCCCCCCCTATACACACATACATTTATCGATTGTATATTACAGAAACTAAACTATAAAACTAAACTATAAAACTAATATTATAATTACCTTTTGGGAATATGTGAGTCCATCGTCGTCTATTGCTGGTAAGTTTAATAGTAACATGTGATGGATCGAAAGGATTAATTAGTGCCCTACCAGGTCTAAGTATATTCGTTGGTTGAGAAATTGAATTTGTTGGGCTACCAGCGCTTCCAACAATAGGTCTAAAGGGCGGAGATATCTCTGAGTCGGTTAAATCATTTTTAACTGGCGTCCTGGATACACCTAATGCAATTATTCCAGCTATGTAATAATTTGGCATAGACATTGATATCATACTTGTGCTCACCAGTTCTATCCTCATTAGATTCGATATTATCGTCATCTGTCTTGTGCGGTATTGTTATTGCCGCACTTCGTAATGCAAGAACCGGCGGTGAATGTGTTTCAGGTGGAGGATGATGTATATCAGGATCCGACATTTTGCGTTTTAAGAGTTTTAACAATTGACCATTGTTATGGGTTTCAAGACACGCCACGCTTGTTTTCTTCGTCCTAGTGCTTATTCTCTGTACACTGCAGAAAGAAATGACAATAGAATGATTGGATTTATCTATTTTTCAGATATATAATTTTTTTAAAGATATATAATTCATATTTTCAAAAAAAGAAAAGAGAAAATATCATGTTTTGTCACCTTGCAAAAAATTGTTCGGGAATAAATAATAGTTAAAGGACAATATATTTTAGTTAATTTACCTGGAAGTATGAACTGTTGGTAATTGAAATACTTGTGCATCATAAGCATCATAATCGAATAAAGTATTGTGCAGACATTCTCTTGGATCTTCTTGCAGAAGTCTTGTCTTGCAATGCAATTTTCCATTATCCGTCGGATGTCTCGATACCCTTTGTGGCAGCTTTATTCGCGGTATGAACGTAGAGTAAGGAATCTTCTTGTTTGTGGAATAAAAACTGAGATTTATCCAGTGAGGCATGCTATAATCATCTGGTGCATTGATGGAAGAATCTTTGTTGTGAAACTAGAATCAAATATAAATATCATTTTAATATAAATAAATTGTGCATATTTGTATGTCTATGCATTTATAGCACCTTCAATAATGGAACTGCATGAAGTGGTTGTTCTCCAACGCACACCAAGTCACTTCCTACACCATTATCGATGATTCTCTGTTTTGTCACATTTGTCAGCTCTCTGTCCACTTCAAAAACTCCAACTCCAGGTGTAATTACTACAGACAACTGACCAGTTCTATCAAAACTGCGATCCAGATAATGTTTTTCAAAAACTATAAAAATATCACGAGATAAAGTTAAGTACAAAATGGATAAATTACAAAATGTAATGTTATGGAACGTTTTGGTCATTCCTTATTTAATATTTACCATTCAGAGACATATTTAAGACTTCCAGAAAATTGCCTTGTGCAGCAGTAGAATTTGTTGCATTAGGTAAGTTAACACCTGGCTTTTGGTGATATTCCAAAACAATTTTCTGATAATCAGTAAATAATTTGCGCAATTGTACCAATATATTACTCCAATCTTCAAATCTTTCATTTTGTACCGCAACTCTGTAAAAATCTTCATAAAATCTCCCTCTATAATCTTGCTGCAAGCATTCCCTCATATGATTTGGAAATTCCTCCAGATTAGTTGCATGGTAAAATGTCCTCGAGAACAGTACTATGGTAACCTCGTGATTGCTGCCATTTTTCTTCCATTTTTGAAATAAATCTGCCAGAAATCCATTAACTGCTTTCTCAAAATAGAGATCCCCATGTATATCAAAATCCCACATTTCGGAGCTCATTTGAATGAACAAATATACCATACTTGTAGAAGATCGAAATACCACCTAAAAATAAAATTTCCTTTTATAACAGGAATAATAGCTTTGTTAATAACGTATTAGAAAATTGCAAACTTTAGTATCATCCGTTATAACGCCACAAGCAACGCGATCACCCTGTGACCACATTTCATACACTTGGCAACGTATACTACCACCACAAAACTCTATCTTCTTGTTGATATATACACAAGTGTTCACCTAGAAAGAAAAATTCTTGTTATATCTTGTCTAGAGACCTCGGTAAGAAATGTAACAAAAAAATGCAATACCAAGCTGTTTTTTAGACGCCACATCTCGCTACGTCCCATATACTGATCTTTAAAGGTCAATTCTATGGAATCAAGAGCCACATCATCTGGATTTACTATGTTCATGTATACGTCGGCGAAAGTGCGCAGCTGAAACATCGACGCTACGTTATTCTCCACGCTGATGGTCTCGCGACCCTGGAGGTCCTCCTTGAAGGAGGTGACTTGCAATAGCAAGCGACTGAACTCATCCTCGGGATGATAAATCTCGACGACATCGCCGGTCTTTATGCCAGGGTAATCTTTCGGATTAATGATCAGATCTTCCCCGCTGAAATTCTTCTGATGCACTATCAGCTTGAAGAGTTTCAATGCTTTATCCGGCATTCTGATCTGTGATGTAAAGTTCAAGTATTGTCACCTCTCGTACATAATGAAAAATTAATGTATTCAATAAAGAGATTCACAGATTTAATTGCAATTCTATTATTAACGTATATATTCTTTTATTTTTTAGATTTTATATATCACCACAGCGATGATCCTATGCGTGATCATCATCAGCATCAACAATCATTGACGAAAAACACATTCAGGTTCTTTGTGAAATTGAAGGGTTGCGATGTTAAACGACATCTTACATGAACTATGTAAGACTCGAGGCGAGACCAACATTAATTACAGAATCGATAAAAGATAAAAAGAAAAGATTTTTATTAATGGTTGGTATAGTTTAACACATTTGTCGTTATTTAATATTTTTAATCTTATATTGATAGCTTCAATAAAATTATAACTTGGTATTATAATTTTCTTCTTTCGAGACACAACTTAATATCCTGATAAAAATTTATATATATGTATATTATTATTTCAAACCATATCAGATGGAATCGAAAACCTTTTGTTCGTCAACGGTCATATCACGTTGTAAAGTACCAGTTCTCGTCCGATCACTGAAGTCAAGCAACGTTGAGCATGGTTAGTACTTGGATGGGTGACCGCTTGGGAACACCATGTGCTGTTGACATTATTTTTGCTAGTTCAAACTATATACATTTAAAATTATTAATTTCTTTTTAAGTATTAATGAATGTTCAAGTGCTTCAAACTGAACTTATTTATTAATAATGCAAGACACAAACCGTTTTATATTACAACATCATCACGTAAATTTTTATTATACTTATACTTTTGTTGATAATTAATTCTACTTATAAAATTGATAAATATTAATTGATGAATATTAATTTCAATTGTAAATAACATAACATGCATTGTAAATTAATATGGAGAGTTATGCACATTTATGAATATTTAATTGCTAAAAATTAATTACATATTTAATAAAATAATTTATAGTTTTATTGATATAATAAACTTATTATTAACAAAAACTTATGATAATAATTGTCAGAACATTTATTTCTCTCAAAAGCGCGACATATATTTATTTTTATATAATTCTGGATTTATTCGCTATAAATATTACAAATTGATGATTTTATCACATTAAATGCATAATTCTCATTAAAACACTCTCACAGATGTCTACATATTTCTTAGGTCATCCTGACCGCTAATATAAATCCATCTAAAATTGTTTTTTTTTCCTTATTAAATCGTAAGAGAGAATAAGAATTACTTAACTTCGTTCATTTTTATTAAAACTTTCACGTAAATTCTCTTATATACATATATGTAATAGATACATGTATACCTTTGATCAAGTATCAAGTGTGTTCAAATTGATTGTCATAGACAATCAATATCATCGCCATATATATAAATGTATATATCAATATATATCAATATATATATCAATATCCATGCACTATAAATAAATTAAAAAAATGAGTGCAAGTGGTAATATTAAAACTATAACGTAATTGTCGAAAGGAACAAGATTTACTTTGTTATGTAATAGGATCATATGCTCGTCATTGGTTTACAATCATATCATTCTTCAACAAATTTATGTGAAAGTTTTAACTGGTCATGATTTATAAAGCAGCCTCTAGTCTCTTTATTTCTTTCGAAATCTCTGTTTTTCGCGCGACTTTGTCCAGTATCTCCTTATCAGGATTTTTCAGAGCACCAGTTTTGATTTTATCCTCTAACACTTCGATTTCCCTAATCTTCTTACGTAAATTTTTTAATCTCTTCTGGGGATCAGTCGTTTTCTGTGTAGCATTTAAATTCTCCTTAGTTACATTATTTGTTGTGATTTGTTTTGTAACAGACAGTATCTTGTCAGTGTGAGTTGGAGCTTCTTTGTGAAATTCAGGCTCTGTGATTGTAATTTTAGACAATCCTTCAGTGACAGGTTCTACAGTTTTGGATTTACTTTTCTTTTTCTTCTTTTTGGATCCTTCTTGGGTTTTTGCTTGTGCACCAGGTATTACTTTGTTTTTCGCTGCTAGAGCCTCCAACTTGGCTTTATGTTCAGCTATAAATTCTGGACTGGCACCCACAGGATACAAAGGCTTTTTTACCAATTGCTTTCCTTTACTTTCGTATCTGCGAAAGGCATAATAGAACAATAGAAAATATAAAACACAATCATCAAGGAATATTAAGATATTTAAGTACATATCACGATTACTTACAATGGAACCTCTTCCTGAGGAATATATCCATCTTTTACACGTCGTTGCTTACGCCATGTGCCATCCGGTCGCTGGCTCGCCGGGATAAACGTACCTGAAATAACAATCACACGTTTTTAATTATAATAATACCTAGAGCATATCTGCACAAAACGAAAACATTAAACGTTTATAACTGCAAAAACATTTCAAGTGCTTATATTAAATAAAAAGAAAGTGTGTCTAATTAACACAAGTGCAAGAATTTCAGAACGGGAATTAGCCGCGGGGACACGCCGCGGCGTACGAAACGCGTGAGGATTCCCAAAGGTTGACGGTCTAACTATAGCACATGGGGAAAGGAACGATCTATTATTACACAAGACCGATCGTTTTACACTTGTTTACACGACCGCCGAGGTTAGAGCCGGTGCGTAACGCGGGCGGCGGGTACGCTTGTCCGCGACGCAACGAGCAATTGATCCTTACCCGTCTCGTCCTTGATATAAGTCGACGCCATCGCAGGACCTCGCGAGGGAGCGCGCGTCTGCGAGAAATATAAATAAATGTAAAAAAAATCTCCCTCTCGACTATCCGCGTGCCATCCTGCGCGATCCCCCGTATCGTGCCAGTATCGCGCGGAGTGAAGCTCCGAGTTTCCTCCGCTCCGGCGTGGCGTGCGAGTTTGGCGACGTGTCTCGCGAGGCGCGCCGACAGATGTCGCCAGCAGTTCGATTTCCGAGTTGCGTGGGAGCGGCCCACTCGCAGCCGGCAAGTCCCAAGTTCGAATCTGGCTGGTCCCGTACGTCCTTTCGAGTGGTTCGTAAGGTTTTTTTCCCCACAATGATCGAAGAGAGTTCCCGGGGATTAAGAATTTGGAAAAAAATTAAAGCTGTAACAGTAGGCTTAAGATGAACCAGTTAAACTTTATTTTGGCGTTTTTTTCATATGTTGCATATCTTTTTTAAATAAAAATTACAATCTGCATGTGCCGATTAAAATCGAGAACTCTCTATTTTTTTCATTTTTATAATTAATTGATGCAGGATTTTCTAAAAATCGGATACCGATGCACTTTCTCTTGTTCGCTGATTGTTTCGTAGATAGAATTGACTTTCTTGATAAGTTTAAATAGAAAGTTTTATTTTTTAATATTTTTCAACAGAGAGACAATTGATATATGATTTCTTAAAAATATTCAAGAAAATGTAAATTTAAATAATGTATATTTTTAATAAATAATTTTGGCTAAAATATTTTTAAATGTATACAAAGAATATAAACGTAGAATATTTTATCGAGGGAATTATAAAAGAGCATAGTTCAATATTTTATAATTTATTCGTAATATTTTCGTGAAATATCTTTATGATACGGTAAACAACAGACCGACAGTATTAATGAATGTGACATAGCATATATATTATTATTGGAATTATATATACATAAATATAAAAGAAGAATATATAAAATTTCTATTCTAAGAATAATTAAGATTTACTCAATAAATATTCTATTTCAAAAATACGATAAAACATAAGATGACAATAATACAAATAACAAAATATTTAAAATTAGAAATTACATAATATTTTATAATATATTAAAAGTTTATTTTGAACAATATTAATATTTATATAATTTTTTACCATATACGATATTAACACCAATAATTCCGGACCTCGATTTTAAGCTTTGATAATAATAATTTGAGAAAAAGAAATCTAAAATATATGTAAATTTCATTTGAAGAAAATAAAATATTAAATTCTAGTTCCAAGATAACGGACGGAAAAGTTTCAAAAATTTTATTTAACAAAAAAATATTTATTCTAAACTTTTGACAGAAACGCGGAAATAAGTATCGAGGAAACGAGGGACGCGGATATGATTATTTCGATTACGTCGACGCGAGAAGTTACGTTAGTAAGCGGTCCCGAGGGCTACCCCTTGATCTAGCCGGGCTGCTTCCGGGGATGCTGCGCGCGCGCACCGGGGGTTGCGCTCCGCTCTCATCTCGCAGTTTCGCAGCCTCCCTTTCGCGACCCGTGTCAAGTCCATCGCAGCTCGATCGGAGGTGTACGTGCAGTTTCCCGTTATTATCTCGTTGTCCCCGGATCGACACCTGGACCATCGGTTTGGTACGATCGTTATCGCGGCCCCGGATCTCCCGGCTTTTCGCGAGTCCGGCTCGTCTCTCGTCTTCATCCGGGCCGTGTACGATTCGGATGCATCGCTCCGCGCCGGAAAATGGAAACCGTAATTGGTATGTAGCCGCATTAACGGATCCTCGTCGACCAGCACCCTCGTCTCTCTCTGTGCGATTAATTAAACGATTCGATCGGTGGGAAGTAGATTCTAATTGAATATAGTTTACCATATGCATTTCTGACACTCGCTCGCGACCGTTCCTTTGGTAAAGGCCACTGGATGATTACGTGAAAAAAATGGAACCGCACGACACGTTCGATAGACATAAGTTCAAAGGCTCGTTATTCCCTAAGGTCACAGAAGCAATGCAGCGAATAAACTTAAAAAGAATTCTTTCGATTGCGACGTCTGCGTGTACACGGGAGTCCTGGCTTATGTAATCATCGTTAAGCAGCGATTGGTTCTAAATAAAAGTTCACGGCGATTGATTGATGTAAATATATTTTGTAGCATTGCATTTTACATAAATTTACACGTAGTTTCGGTAATGCGCGTGATAGAAACGTAGATGAAACTGCATTTTAAAAGTTGTGTTTTTTTTAATATTAAGCATAATAATATGAGTGTACGAATGAAATGTCGAATAATAGAAAATAGTTAATAAAAAAAGGCAAATTACAGAACAACAGCAAAGAGATAAATATTGAATAAATATTAGTTTAGAAATCAGAATAATACAATTTTTTGTATCGCACTATTGTTGTTTTGCACTATTAAGTGAGATTTTAAAAAGGCAAAAATATACACATAGGCAATCTTTCAAAGTAATAGTCTTTACACATAAATTTGCTTTTTATAAATTGTTGCTCTAAAAATTAACTTTATTATTTATAGAAAATTATAAAGAATAGAATTTTGCGTGATAGTTTGAAATTTTAAAAGGATACAAAAGAAAGATAGAGAAAAAGGATAGAGGGAATATTAAAATTATATAAAAATAATATAATTCTCCAGCGCATAATTTGTGTATTATGTAATTTTTAATTATGACATAAAAGAGAATTCTCTGCACTCTGAAAAGAAAAGAAGAAAGAGAAAAAGAAGAGAGCAATAAATAAAGGTCTTGGTTCATGTTTTTATTTTTCATTTTCTCCCATTATTATTACTTACCAAGACAAAAATTACAACATTTATCGTTTTAAATTACACATTTAGTTAAATAACATCCAGTTAAATTGCACAATAGCAAATTGCGTAACAGCGCGATAGATAACGAACGGAGAATATACCGAAGAATTTCCTTCCGACTAATTGGGATAATTATACCAAGCAATTTGGATTTTGCGAAGTAAATGTTTTAATGACACGATCGCATGTTGTGGACGCCTTGCAGCCAGTTGAGAGTTAAAAACAGGAGAATCTAAAAGAGAGCTGCCGTGACGTGTTGAACAGCTTCACCTAAACCGCGATCCTGAACCTTGCAGCCTCCTCCTCCTCCTCCTCCTCCTCCTCCTCCTCTTCCTCCTCCCTTCCTCTCTCATTCCCCCCTTTTTCATCGGACATTGCACCGATGCAGGCGTATGAGAAACGACCGCCTTGCCAGAAGACGGGATCGTCATCCGCGGAAGGAGAAGCTGACTTATGAGCCTGTGCCCCGCCGTATCTCCGCCTCTAGAAGATGCGATCTGCTGCGAAACAAAATCCCGGAAAACTTACTTTACGTAATCATTGCGATATCCCTCGTAAAACTTTTTTAGGACAATTTCTTCTTTATGAAAATTTTCAGCTAAAAGTCGAGCGAGACTAGACGCGGGGCGGGGGGGGGATGGGTAGCGGAGAGATTCTAAGCGTTTAGAAATGTGTATTTCAGAATACATATACACTTCACTTAGAAAAAAATTCATACGTACATTTTTCCTCATAGCAAAATTTTTATTTTTCTCTAATAAAAGTATTTTTTTAACAGTAGCGGCTTGTAGCATTTTTTTTTTATATCGACTTGACCTACTCCGCGCTGATGTGCTCCAAAGAGCACAACGATATTTAAATGCAGCAGCCGATAAAACACACATTCTGATAAAATTATAACGATGTTAATATTCGGTAATATCTCGTTGAGCAAAATTGCACTTATGTGTTTTACGCCTTTATTAATAAATAATTTCGCGCATTTAGTTTCGGACATCGGCGGGACGGACTAGTTTGCAATCATCCGCGGCTATCGGATATCAGGTACTTCAGGAGAAACGCGCGTTAATTTTTTACTCCTACTTCGCATTTCCAAATGGGATTTAATTTACGGGGTGTCACGGGGTGTCATGATGCGGCAGGCCGCGCTTAACGCCAGATTGAACTTTATCTCCCGCGTATCTTGGCCTCGTTGCATAGAATGCTGCCGGCGCGGCGCGCTACGGTGCACTTTGCAAGACCGAAGCGAGGCCACCATACATACACCATACGTCGCATATATTGTAGCATGCGGCGGCGATATTATGCGCGCTACATAGCGTATCGAGTACATCGAATACCCATCGCGACGACGGCGCGGCGCGGCCCCGCAAGAGATCGTCGCCTGGATGATTTTCGCGGTGTGTCGCTTCGCGTATGTACGTATATCGCACTAGCATAATCGTAGGGGAGGAGGGGAGGGGGGGCTTACAGCTTACATAAAGCTCTTACAGAAATCTTAAAGCAAGCCTGTACAAGATGTTCTCAAATTTCCCGCAGCAAAATTCCCGCGAATAATGGCCTCCTTAGATTGCTCGTACTACACGACCCCTCGTCGTCGTCGGACGAAAGTCCCTCTCTAATGAGAGAGATTATTAAATCCTAAACTTGCATTTGCGAAAATGTCAGGTAGCTTCGTGATTAAATTTTGAGCTGGAGTTCGATCGAAGAGTCGACGCAAAGTTAATTAAATGTTCTGTTATTTGGAACTCTTGACACTTGATTCGACCTTTGAAGTTTTAATTTATTTTACTACACGAAAAGAACACTTACTTTTGCTGGCAAATCTAAAAATTTGATATAGATCTGATATAGATCTATCCAGATATAGATCTGAAAATTATTTTGTTGGCCCATCAAAATTATTTTGTAGAATACTTAAATATGATGATAATACTGTAAAAATGTTTGATCTTCTAACAATCAATTTGAACATCGTATAATAATTTTGAAGGTCCAACAAAATCGTTTTCAGATCTGTATCTAGCCAAATTTTTAGATTTGCCAGCAAAAGTGTTCTTTCTGTGTAAATTATAGATCCAGGACAGGATAAAGAGATTATATTTTTAATAAACTAGATAGGTCAAAAGGAAAAAAGAATACGAGTAATATAATATGTAATATGTAATTAGGCAGACAAAATTTTAGATGCCTAATAATTTTTTTTAATTTTTAAATTCATATTTATAAATTAAAAAAAATTGCTTATATTACCAATATTACTTTTTTTAATTTAAACATAAGTAATTAAAAACATAAATATTATACCTTTCAAATCGTCGTGCTAGTTATAATCTGACTTAAGAAAAAATAATTTATTAAGTAATTATAAGTAATTTCCATACTTTCAATTAACTAGAAATAAAATTTGTTGCAGTGACGCATCAAAATTTGCCAGAAAAAGAAGAATAAATTTCGTTTGCGAACAACGTTCACGATAAACGACCATGGGAATAATGAAAAGGCAAACGATAAGGACGAGAAAAAGGATCAAGTAAATGCAAACAAAGAAGATCGCTTTTCCTTTTTCAATGTAACTTGTAAACCGCTACTTTTTTAAAGTATCACCTTAAAGAAGATAAGCGGTAAGAGCTACGTTTGACAATGTGAAGAAAGAATCAGGATAGAGATTAATTTCTTTCATCGCCATGTTTCTAATCTGGCATTTGACATCGTCGCTATTCAAAGCGAAGGTGATTGAACGACGATCCAGTACTGCAATAACAATCTAGTGAAAAGCTCTGTGAAAAGCTCGTCGCAAATGAAATGACGTGCGTGGGCAATTGCATGTACATGTACATATATGTATAACATATACGTACGTGAAAATGTAAGGCTCTTGTAGATTTACGATACGTTGAACTCGGCAAGGAATTTCTGTGTGTTCTTACACGTTAGTTCAACCATCGAAGCGAGAGAGAGAGAGAGAGAGAGAGAGGAGAGAGAGAGAGAGA